GGCGGGGCGGGCGGGCGGCAGCTCGCCCTTTATAAAAGGCGCCCCTCCATTCTTCTCGCGGCCATCTGTGGGCACAGCTTCGCGCATATGGTTGCAAGGCGCGGCGGCGTCCGACGAGGAGCCCGACGACTGCCTCGCAAGCTTGACATGTGCGGCGACTTTCACTCCTCAGTGAGCACACTTCAGAGCCCTCCGCCGCGCCTCCCGCAGCGAATGGCCGAGCGGCGCGGCCGACTAGGCGCGCGGGCCGGCAGGGAAGGACTCGCCCGCCCGCCCGCCGCCGCCGCGCACTTTCCCGCCCAGGGCTGCCTGAGGACGCGGGCCGATGCGGCGCCGGAATGACGCCCCTCCGTGCCAGCCCGGCACGCTCTGCGCGGGGTGGGGTGGGGGTGGGGTGGGGACACGCCTGGCTCTTTATTGGCCGCCGCGCTTCACTCCGGGCTTCGCAAAGCCCACCCAGGGGCCTCCCTTGTGCTGCAGGGTTGGGGGGTGGGCTGTCGGGGTTTTTGGCTTGTTTTGGGCAAAGGGGGTGTCCTTCCACCTATTCTGCAGGCAGCCCCCCCCCGCCACTCCTGCCCGTCACACCCCCAGTTACCCTCCCGCGGGGAATCAGTAGGAAAGTTCCAAGGGCGGGGCTGAGCCTAGTAGCAGCCCTCCGGCCCGGCCGAGGAGGACCTCTGGGGGGCCCGAATCGGAGCTTCCCTCGCGAGGGGGCTTCCTTGGCAGGAATCGCGCGACGTCCCCGAGAAAAGGGGTCTGGGAGACGGGCCCCCGCCGTCCCTCGGGCGTCGGTGGGGTTCAGTCACCATAAGTCAAGCCCCTACGGGCTTATAGCTTGTGGGTCGTGTGATCTCTTCCCTCGTTTCTCGAGGCTCGTCCGTGGGGCTTGTCCAATTAAAATCTCCGTCTTGTTCCCGAACTACTTTTCGCGCGAGCCGCCCCTCCCCCCCCATTCCTGCCCACCCAGCTGATCCTCGAGGAGACGCCAGCAGCCCTTTCCCCTTTGCACATGATGAACGACAGGGTTTAATTTTTTTCCCCTTCTGATGACATCACTAAATAATATTTCCCAACACTTCCATTAAACCGTGCTTCTGTGACTGAATAACTGAAGGCTATGAAATTTTGGGTTTCTCTGGTTTCATTAAAAACCTTTTAATTGTGTCTTTCACAGTTGGCCCCAGGTGTTGGACTCTTTTCATTACATTTTGCTCTAATGTGATGAAATTCTAATTCTCTCCTTACCATATGGTTAAATTTCCCCACTGAGAATTAGTTGAAAAAGAAGAAATAATCTATTAATCTCTGTAATAGATTCACAAATGAGGTTTGCCACAGAACCCTGTGTTTGAATGGTAATCTCGGAACAGTTGGGTGTCTTGTTTCAGCAAAGAAAAGGAGCAGGCGACAACAGACTCGCCCCCCCCCCCGAATTTTTCACCTGGAAAAGAATGAAAAGAAGCCAAGCGACAGATCCCCCCAACCCCCCACCGCAATTGCCTGGAGATTTCCAGCAGCCAGTGCCAGGGTCCGACCCCCCCCCCCCCGTGGTCCTGCACTGAAGGGGGAAGCGGCTCCCCCCCCTTGCCTCCCAACCCCACTGACCACTTTTCGACTCGAATCCCCGGCTCAGCCTCCGGCTCCCCACCGGCCCACTGTGCCTCCCGTCTTTCCTACACGCGACTCTGTTGCTGTCTGCTGTTGCTGTCTGTTCTTGCTGATTGTTTTTCCAATTAGCATCTTCATTTTCTCTGGGACCATAAAGGGAGAGCCTTTCGATCAGTAGTAGAAGGGGGTCCGTGTCCCCTCTCGACCCGTGAAACTTCTCGGATCGCTTGCGGATGGCCGGGGGAGGGGGCGGCGCTTTCACAGTTCTGGGCTTCGGTTCTTGCAAACCGATGTCGCCGTCATTGATCTGGGACGCGTTCCTCCAGGCCTCCCGCCCCCTCCCCCCCCCCCTTGCTGGAAAACTTTTCGGATGGCGGCTCTCCTTGCCCAGTAAGCAGTTTCGGAAATGAGAGCTCAGAGATATTGATACGGTGTCAAAGGCATTTCATCATCCTCGCCACCGTCAGACCCCGGACTGCCTGCGCAACGAGGGACTGGTTAGGCGAGTGATTGATGCCCTGTCAGCCTCTGGACAGGTGGACCACTCTGCAGCGAACAGGTGCGAGGAATGTAAGGTCACCCCGCCGGTAACGGAGAGACTGAAGGCGCCGAGCGTCTTCCCATCCCCCCCTCAGAAAGGGGGTCAGTGGCTGCCAGACGAGAGGCCCCGTCCCCTCCCCTCCCCCCCTCTCCTGGCACCAGCAGCCTCCAACTAGCCCTGCGTCGAGACAGACAGACAGACCGACCGACCGAACTCTCCCCCCTGGAGCCTCCCTCCAGCCCAAGGCTCCGGTCCTCGACCCCTCTCGCTTCTCCCTCCTCTGCCTGCAGCAAACTCTGCTCGGCTTCCCTCGAGGCGAGAGGGGCAGCGGTTTAATAGTCGCCACTAACTTTAGTTCGGAAGCCGGCAGAAGAATTTATAGGCGCTTTAAGTGCGGGGCTTATAAAAAACACCCGAGGACTGGTCTTTGTGGTTTATGCACTCGTAAACTTTTGCTGATTGCTTCGGGGAAGTTGTCAGGCATTTAACGCGGCATCTATCTCACCGCGCCATGAAAACACAGCTGCCCGGTGTCTCGCGGGGGTGGCCGCTCTGAGCGCCCAAGTCACGCAAACCGCCGGCGAACTTGCCGAGACAGCGGGGCGGGGCGGCCACTGGCGAGAGTTGTGTTGCCCCCCTTCACAAAAACGGGGGGACTACTCCGGTGGGGACGTGCGAAGCATCTTCCCGGGCGGGGGCGGGAGAGGCCAGAGTCTGCCGCCACAGCGAGTCCCTTGGCCGTCAAAAGGCCCAAAGGACAGGGAAGCCAGTCCCCGCTACCCTCCTTGGGGTTTGCTGCTCCCAGCCAGGCCGTGGCGTCGCAACCGAGAAGGTGGCAAGAAGCCTAGAGTTTTCTATGGGATGAAACCAAGGCGTCAGTGCTTCAGCACATCTACGAGGAAATAAAGCCTAAGCAACAGGAACTCGTATCCTGGCCTGGCTAGCCCGGTCTCCTCAGATCTCGAAAGCTAAGTGGGGGGGGGGGGGGAGACCACCAAGGAGGGCAATGGGCAAACCACCCCTGAACATCTCTTGCCTGGAAAACTCTATGGGGTCGCCGTAAGTCAGTTGTGCCTTGACGCCAACAACAACCAACAACCAACAGAAGCTCAGCCTAAGACCAGTTGCCATGCAATGTTCTTAGTTCACATGTTCAGCTGCGAACTGAACGAGAAGATACCAAAGCGTTCACCTGTGAATATACTTCTATGGAACAAGTTCCAAGGAAAGTGCTTGAAAATTGCCTCCTGTGCCCTGCAGAACAGTTATTGCCATTCGCATCTTTCTAAAAGATCTAACCCAAGGGAAATGCTTAGTTACTGTTCTAATGATTTAAGTTATATTCCAGAGATCGGACGCTCAGACGGATGTCAACGGGGCATCCTTCCAGCGATCTGTGGTCAGAATAGCAGCCTGTTAAAAGTTTGTTATTTATAGTCCGCCTTTCTCAGTGAGAATCAAGGCGGGTTACACAGAGTCAATATGGAAAGCAGTGGGGCTTGAATAGCAGAAGGATGGGG